TTGAGGCATTGAGAATCTGCAGCCATTTCTTTAAGAAAACAATAGCATACTTCAGCTAGGACTGTAATTTAAGGTTCTTTTGATACACCCTAGCAAACAGGCTGAACTCTCCTCTTAAGGTAGTGGTCTCGCACCCTGACAATACTAGGAACTAATTCTGATACCTCTAAGTTTCAGATTCTCACGTAACTTGACTTCTGAGAATAGTACTTTCCTATCTTTGAGGATATTACTTTAGAGATTACAAAGATTTCAGTCACTGTGATCTTACAGGAACAACAATGCTGGTAAAACAAGCTTCGGAAATGCTATTCAGCATCATCTGAATCTACATAATGCAAGCACAGCCATGAGCTGCACTGCAGATCAAAAGCTGTTAGACAAACAAATGAATTTCACCTAAGCAGTGATTTAAGTCTCCTTATAAGTACATACTGCACTTACATACTTTTGCAACCAATCTATTAAGGTGTCTTGACAGCTTTAGATTCAAGTATTACGATCCTGAGAACATAGCTCAACTAGACAGAGCTCAAGGGAGAGTCAGGAAAATAATCAGAAACCTAGAAAACACAAGCTACAAAACAGGATTTGATCATAAAGAAAAAAATAAGGCAGGAGAAGATAGCAATACTCCTCAAATAAAGAACTGCCAAAAGAATGATATCAGAATGGTGGATCAGAGAAGGAAGAAACTTGAATTATAGCAGGAAAGATACAAAGAAGTTTTAGACTTCAAGACTGCCAGTGTTAAGGACAGGGAAGCACCATGAGCTTCTTGGATGTCACTTTCCTTTCTGAAGTTCAAAATGCACATTCCCCCTACTAAATTACTCAGAAATTCTTTTGTACTTCCACTATTCAAACGCTATAGGAATATATTGATGTGACAGATGAAATCAGAGTTAAAAAAATGCAAGTCTTCCATGCCCAGTATGTATCCTGAAAAATGATTTTTTTTCTTTTTTAAAGTAAGCAACTATTTCAAATGAAGTTACAATAAGCAGCAACCCATAGTTGGAAGCCTTTTTGAAGATAGCTGGAGGTTCCTGTCACTTTGCTTTATTCAAGAAAAGATTAAATAAGATGTGAAGTACAGACAAACCTAGTAACCCTCTCTCTCAGGTCTATCTCAAGTATGTGACAGTATTTCCTGCATATGCATTCTTCTGAGAGGCTGAGTCGTTGCTTGCAGTTCATGTTTTCTATACATTTGCTCTTGTGTGCCAGACAAGTGTTTTTGAAGATGAGTACCCACACCAAACACATGTACCTGTGTAATCACATTCAACCTTCAAGTATCAGCCGAGAAAACAGAAGCATTACACAAGTGGGCATTGAAGCAGGTAGGACACAACAGGACATGGAAATGGACTTCAGCTTTTGAAAGGCATTACTCTTGATTTATCAAGGCACAACTTGTACAAAATATTCTCCCTTACATCAGGTTGTCAGCCACACAGAGTACCTCCAAAAAAGAAGCAATGTGGGCATTTACGCTGGTTACAAACTCAATTATGAGCTACTTACAAGCAGCTGGCCCTCAAGGAAGAGGCCTCTCTGAACCTACTGTCAATCCATTATTTCATGTGGCATGCTCTAGTGGTGCAAATTCAAACAGGAATTTGAACAAATTTAACGTTTGCTGAAAAAACCCACACAAACGCAAGCAGAAAAGAGCAGACTCTTACAGTGTCATGGCTTACTTCAAGTCTAGTTTTCTGTCTGCAGCTACTTGATTTCTCCCTCACCCCCTCCAGCAAAGGGCATTGCAAGAAACTGATTGAAATACAAGCCACAAGTTTATACAGTTATCTGGTATGAATATTACAGAATCAAACAAGATGTAATTTTACTTACTGGATATGGAGACTAGAGGACAGCATTCAGAAATCTTATATCACAAAGGCACAATATTTCAAACCAGCTAACTTCCATACACCATGACCACCTAATGAATTCAGATCTAGAGGCCTCACATATAAACCTGAAATTAGCTGCCATGAAAAATGAAATCATATTTCACTCTGGCATAAAATCAAACATACGTGTGAACTTCTGTTGAATTCTTTGTTCATACTCCTGTGTTATGACTGTTCCCACATACTTTTTCTTCCGTGTGAGGTGCAAAAAGCAGCTTAGCTAAGCCTAATAACACAGTTTATTTTGCAAAAGAACTGGCTGCCTCTGCTGGATAACTTCTCTCATTTTACAAAAATTCTGAGGACAGGTTTGTGACTACATAGCATCAACAACAGCAGGCTGATATGTTCACTAGAAGTCAGGCATAGTGCCTATAGATATTTGGTCCCTAGTTCAATAACAGACTTAACAGTCTGTTAACGTATGGCCAGATAGCATCTTCCAGATATCTGCAAATGAGGAGGGGCAGAACAAATTGAAAGCTGTGTTAATGCAGAACTGATTTCAAGCAAGCAACACTGACCAAAAGGTTGGGGAAAGTTCATTCAGGTTTGGCTTTTCTGGTCACCAGGGCCATAAAACAGCCTGCAAGAGACACTGAATGACAGAATGCATCTGTCATTATGCAGTAAGTGAATATTTTCTCCCTCCTAGAGCCCTCCCATTTTTACAGAAAAAAGAATCTCTGCTTTTTGGATTCTTTGGACAGGAAATATTATACATATGATCTACATTAAATTACAACAATCCATAAGGCTCCAATTTTAGTTTTATCACCATAGGCAGGTAAAATAATCATAATTAACGCTTCTGCCAAAATAGATTCCTGGAGCTTTATTTAAGTGAGTACTGTAGTTCCAAAAACTGTGCCTGCTCTCTGACAGAGTGCTGTATTTGGAAATCACGAGTGGGAGTTTAAAATAGGTTCAGCACACAGCTCACACTGTTCCCATCCCTGACATCCATATGGGGTTTGGACAATCTGGAGCTTTCTTTGAAAGGACCCACTCTGCGTATATTGCAAAGTAAAGTTCTATATTTGCTGCTATTAGGCTCTGAAGTTTCAGCACTTTAAGATGTCACTAACTTGATAAACAATGAGGTTTATAAAACGCATCTGATGGCTAAATAGACACATGCAGGATCAAATGTTTGCCACACAAGCAATCAAACAAACTGACGAACATCAAAAAAAGTGATTATAGAACTATAACTGTTCTATTATTAACCAGCAATCTGCATATCCTCCTCCAATTAATGCTAGAAAGGAGCTGTTAGTAAAAACCTAATTACCGGCATAACACTTCGTTGATTAGAAGTGCAGTAACAGTCATTGCTCCTACTTCATTTATGCAAGGCCCATAATAATAAGCCAAAGGATGTCAGTCAGTCACTGCTTTCCTGCCAGAAGTTTCTGCTATAGCAATAGCTTCTAGTGTAAATGCACTCCTCTACCCATGTCACTCAGCTCAGTAATTGCCTTGCCACTCACATAAAGGAAACAATTTCCGGCTCTGATGGGATTTTGTCTGCAATGTGAAACTGCTACTGCAATTGCAGCAGGTAGGTGTTAGATAGGTTACTTTGGCAGATCATAACATGAAACTAATCTCTAAAAAGCAGGTGGAAAGAGAAACTCGCAGGCTGGTGGGTGCAAGGAAAATGGTGCTGTCCGAGTGATTAACATAACATGCTAGGTGAGGTGGAACTGAGACAGAAAGAATAAAGTGGAACCCAGAGAAAAAAGTTCCTCGGCCATTTTCCTTTCATCAGGAACATCTCTCATTTCAGTTTATCTGTCAGAAACTCTCATGAAACCATATACACATATTTTATACACCACAGGCTGCTGACTAGCAGGGCCACTAGCTCAGGGACAGCAAGCAAAAGCAAACACTGTCTGCTTCCCATCTGCAGCAACAGAAAACAGGTTTTATTGATCACTCTCCCCTTCCTTTCCAAGTGGATTCATATTGAGGGTTTCATGGGCAAGCAGAAGTTATAGGTTTTTAATCGACCTGAAAGAGATAAATTAATCAGAAATACACTTTCTGGGTAGCAAGATGAGTACAGAGTAAACGGAAATGCTTACTTTTCATTGGTTACAGAAAAGTATATACAGAATGTGATCCCATTTTAATATTCCTTTTCGACAGAGGATCATAGCAGGAAGACAGGAATGGGACAAAAAAAAAGGAAAATAACCAACCTACCACCTGGTAGTATAGATCAGAGAGAATCTCTAGTTTTATAGTTCAAAATCTCACCTTACAGATGTAATCTGAAACAGCCAGACTGTTCACAAGCAAACAGGAAAACTATATTCCTATATTCACAGACTTGCTAGTGCATGAGAGCAAAGCATTATGTTCAATTCATACAAATTGTATAACGCACGTATTCAGCTACTAAAAAAATAAAGCCCTAAATTATTGGAGTCCCAAAACTTTAGGATGTCAGAAACAGTAAAACTCAACTTCTGTGTCAGTTACCAGACAGCCTGACCCACAGGCTCACATATTCCAACAGTGAGACTGCTGCAACAATTCATAAGAAAATTCAAAACAGCACATCTACTTCCATTGCTTCCAATGATGCCTTGGGTTCATGTTATATCTATTGCTTTAACATTCAATACCGATCTCCCACGATTTTGTAACAGGACTAGAATTAATTCTCTCCAACACGCTTCCCATTTTTGAGCCTATGTGAAGGTCTTAAATATACTAAGCTTCTCATCTTATCATGGCATTACCTGTATCAACCACGGCTCATACCTTTACCAAGTACATCAAGTTCTTGTGAAAAAACAAAACCCACAAGCTTTAATCTTCTGCTCAAACAGTTTGACTTCAACTGCAGTAAGAAACTTTAAAAACCACCATAGCAGTTCAGAGGTAAGAAGGCCTGATTACTTAAAAGTGACACTGGATCTGAGCTTCTGAATGATTACGGCCCTTCTTCTTATAGCCCAACTTGAATATGCTCAAAGCACAGACTCATGGAAATCCCTTAAGGTCAGCTGAAGCCCTCAGTCTCTCCTTCCATCCCAAAGAAAGCATAGTAGCCATTCTTACCCTCAGAAAAATCGTACGAACTCACGATGTACATCTCCAGAAGTCTCCAGCAACTCCAAAGGCAATCAGACTTTCAGCTCTTACTAATTCTAGAAGAGCAAAAAGAAATAACATTTACACATTTTTTTCCCCACAAACAACACAGGCTAAAGTTTAAGACAGACATTTGAAAGAATTATACTATTACGTTCTTCATCTTAAAATAAAGAAAATAATCACTCCTTGGCAAATATCCGGCTTTGTATTTATCACTTCTTATTCTCCACATATGGTAAAAGGTTAACACTGACTACGCACTAAATAAAAAGAGATATGCAAAAACAACCCACGCTTCACTTTCTTGTGAGATCACCAGCAGTACTCCATAGTCAAGTTGCATTCTATTTTTGGTAGAGTACGTTTACTTTGCACAGCACTTTTGAAAAGTGAAAAACAAGCAGAAATCAAATAAGCTTGAAACACAACCTGAGCAAAAACATTTTAAAAATGTAAAGAACTATTAAAGCAGAACTTAATGCACAATCACAAGTTTAGGACAGTTATCTCTACACACTTCCTTAGTTCGTATTTTCAGTAACTCTCTTACACCCTATTCTCATTCTTCCTAGATTTTTCTAGCTTTTTATTTCACTTTCTCATGCCTTACTTTTCCTCCCAATGAAAAGCCGCATTCCTGTTCCCTTGTTTGGAGAAGAAAAGCACTTTTTTGGAGTTGCTATACAAATAAGTAAGAAGCTACTACATACTTTAAAATGGAAATGGCATTCATAACAGACTGCAAAACAGAGTTAAGTAGTGCAACACAATGGGAAGTACAACAGTGACAGCAGAGCAGCAAGGTCCCAGGCTACAGTAAGTGCAGAGCTGCTCAAATACAAAACCAATAGACACAGAAATAAAATAAAAATAAAATAGCTACTTACCTTTGAAAAACATCCAGCAGCAGAAATCTACAGAAAGACCCCCTCACCTCTACTGCCAACCCTTAAATGAGGTCTGGGAAGGGGTGGATCCTGGCTCCAGCCCTTCTGGTCACATAGCTGCATTGCATAATTGCATGCACCTGAGCTCCACTGGGTTGGCCCTGCCTTCCCACCAGGTGCTCAATCACTGGATCAGGCCATGACTCAGAATTTCTGGTACAAGTACATAGATCCTTTCTAGTAAAAGCAGCAGCTGTTTCCAAGTATGTCTTCCAAGGTACAGGGATTTCTCCAATACCTGTAATTTTCCCCCAAATAAGCTTGTAGAGAATCACAAAACAGCCATGCCCAATAAGCAACCTCAGCATGAGGTTCTGTATAAGGCACCTTATCCTAGAATCATTAAGATTGGAAAAAAGCTCTCAGATCATCTAGTCCAACCGTCCACCTACCACCAATGTTACTCACTCTACCACGTCCCTATATACTACATCTACATGTTGTATCGGAAATGGAAAAATTGTGTGAGGATGGGAACTTCATTGCATCACTTTTGATTTCACTCCCTACACTCTTTACTGTGTGCTTACCTTTGAAATGCACAAAACAGAGCAAGCTCTACTCAGGCAAACAACACATTTGGAACAAACTCACAACACCTGTGTTCAAATCCTTCATGCTTCTAGCAGAGAACACAAACTACAGGGTCAGCCAAAGACAAAAATGAGGGCAATAAAAAAAAACAAAAAATGACAAACACCACCTATTTCTTATTGTAACAGAAAAGGCATGAACAAATAAAACCAGCACAGATGACCTCAGGAACTTTACTCCACGTTTCCCTAAGTGTTCCACTTTTGCCTCCTCTCCTGAGTGCAGCTAATGTCTCCTCCATGCTCTTGCTGCTTCTGAGGTCCCTGTTTGCTAACCACCTGTGTCTCCAGAGCAGCTTAGCTAATTTGGCTGTGACAGCTATTAGTCGCCAGGCAACACCCAGCGCTAGCTTTTACACGTCTATTTACTCATTTATCCTTTTCTTTAGGAAGATCAGAAAGTCAGCATGCTATAGACATGAACAGAAGGAAGCACCTCAAATAAGAGCACATTTCTCACACTTAATTCATATCACATTTATGAATATTCATAAGAGGAACATAGCCAAGATGGAAAACGGTATTTTGGGGATAAGTAACAAATGCAGCTGCTGATTAGCTTTGTAAAGGCACACATGAAAATTGTCACAGCTTTAAATGATTGCAAGAAAGGGTCTTCTGCATCTCAAAAGCCATTCGTAAAGCAATAAATACCCTGGCATATTTCTATTTGGCAGAACTAACCCTAAAATGACTAATGTTTCAAAATGCCTTCTGTGGTCACTGTAAAAGGGTCATGAAGACAAAAGACATGAGTTTCACACAAGCAGTCTTTAGGGATTAAAAAAAATACACAAACATTTCTAAATGCAGTTCAGCTGACCTAACAAGAAAGGCTCAGTACTCCAACAACTTTTCCCACAAAGCAGAGCTGTCGTACTTCATGTTAAAGATACCTCATTAATGCTTATGTGATCATGTAACAGCCACGTCAAGCCTGCAGGAGAGCAAGAGACCCCAGAGAGGTCTTTGGAGCTTTGTTTGCATTTAGTAGAATTAAGGAACCCTATGAATATTAAGGTTAATGGAATACCCAGAATAATGTGTGCTCAAAAAGCCAGCCCTGTGGAAGGAGAATTCTGCTGAACTGGCCTCTTGACTTTGATCCATTCTGTGATTGCTGAAAGAAAAGCCAAGTGATAGCTCAGCCAAGAGTTGTTACTCACTGTAGGTTTCTTACAGCTTTGGAGGTATTTTTTTTATTATTTGCTGTTTCTTTTTGTTTTTTTTTTTTACTGTGTGTGTTACTGCTTCCAAGGTAGTAATCAAGAGCTTAATTCTTTGTAGATGTACACTCAATTTGCATTCTTGCATTTACTTTCATATTTGAATTTGCCTGTGCCATATGGCCCAGTAGCAGCTCCAGCTAAATTGTTTCACCAGAAGACAACAATATCCACAAAAATAAGATTCCGTAAATAACCTGAAATATCCCATCAAGACTAGCTGCTCTGAAGACTGGTATTATCATTGTACAAAACAGAGGGAAAAAAAACATCATCTGATATATAATTCAGTTACATACAAGTAGAGGAAGAGATGGTTTACACAATATAAAGGAATTCAAACATTATCTGATCTTGCCAAAAACAGAATCTAGGTTTAGCGACTTGTAAGCTTAATAAGAAAATATGACTTTCACCCAGCAACCTGAACAAGATTTCAAAGAACATTTGCATACTCCCTGATCTCTAACTCTTAAGACTATGCTGGCAGTGCTGTATGTGTTGATTTGAAGAACTACGTGACTATTAGCAGCTGTACCTGATTATGTGCCAATTAATACTGGAGCTCCCACGGGGTTAATATAGATGTTTTCCTTCTTCTACTGTTCATTTTCATCTGGCTTTGAACAAAATCAATGAATTACGCTACACGTGTTCTCTCAGTGTTAATACAGTCATTTATTATGGTTATCAAGCTGCTATAAATCCTAGAGAACTTTGAGATCTTACCATTTTAGACAGGGGATTTATAAGAAACATTTAGGAAACCATTTGTAGGAGCTGAATGTCCCATCTCCAAACTACATGTCCTCAGAAGCACCAGGCTTACCAATTTTGTCTCATTCACCAATATGCTACCCAGAATACTTGCCTGTCTCTCTGGTTTCTTGTAACCTGTGCCTGTCCTGGCGAACGCTGATAATCACAGAGGAATATAAATAAACAGATTGGGAACCAAATCCAGGGACTAGAGGGAGGGCTAGAACCATTGCTAGGCCACACAAGTTGACTGTGGTTTGGTAGCCACCAATAAATGTGGTTGTGTATGCTGGTGGTCCTACATAGGATTTTTACAGGGAAATTTGCAACTATTACTCCTAAATATACTTCTCAGATACCAAATAATTCATTTGGTTCTTTATTACTTTATTTTACAGTCCCTCTGGTTCCTTAAGTTGAGTTTTGTCACAGAAGCTGTATCCCTTGGCAGGGTTGGACACCCATGCTCTGTCATGTTGGTGCTCCTGTCTGTGCATAGAGCAAAACAAAACAAAACCCTTTGGCTGTGATTTTTGAAGGATACTAAAAAGGCTTATTATCATGAGTTGTCTTAGCTCAGGTCAGTCTGCTGTTTTTGAAAACTCTCCTTCTTGGCCTTAATATATCTTTCGTAAATAGTGTATAAATATTCTGGGAATTAATACTCTCCTTTTCATAATGACTGCATGACACAGAATGAAACATCACCTCAAATAGCCATCAATTTAAAAGTGTAAACAATGTATTCTCAGCCAGCTGGCTTGCTGATATAAATGTGTCTATGCCTGAAAGCATAGCTTTCTGCATTTCCTTAGTAAGTTTGGGTAATTTTAATGGTCTATCTTTGCAAGGCTCTTTCACCTGGGAGCAATTTGTGGCTCACATAAGCCACCAGACTTCTACAATATGGCCTCATGCTATACACAGTACAATTTAACATTGATATTGATTACAGAATAATTCTATAAATAGGGCAGAAACTTTTGCTAGTCTTTGAGGCCATTTTGCTACAGGGAAGGAATTTGCAATACTTTAACACATTTATGACTTACCACTTATGTAATCACACCTGAGTCTGTTTTTGAAAATCACTGAGAAATTCATTGATTTTGTGTGTGTGTTTTCAAATGTTCCTTATCTTGTTTAAGTTCTGAAACCTGCTGTCCCACTGATTGGTTTCAGGCTATCATTTCCTCTTTATCCATGTGGCTGAGCCTAGTAAGTCAGGAATGATGAAAGGGAGATATAGGCTTCCTCTTTCACACAGGGTAATTGTTTATGTGGGCAACAAAAAATCACCTGAGTCAAATTTTTGGTCCTGCTGTTGTCATCAGAAAGTTGGTTTTGGCTGAGCAGCATTTCCTCTTTGAGTAAGTCAAGTAAATCCGTCCATCTCTAACTTCTAATACCTGCAGGAAAGACAGAGTACAGGATTTATTTATTCAGAAAAACAAATAAACTAGATAAGTCTATTTTGAAACATTTCCAGCATTGTTTTAATATTCTTGTTTGCTATAGGTGTTCGAGATGCTACATACATTGCTAAGCTTCAATAGGAGTAATATACAGTACAGGTTAGTCAAAGAGAAAATGGGAGAAATAAATTTCAGATATGACCTTTTCTGGTTGCTTTTTCCCCATTTTCATCAAGAACTCAGGGCTTTTGGTTGCCATCAAATTGCAGGTGGAAAATGAAAATATCTTATGTTAGACATGTCTGGACATTTTGTAAGAAAACAGTAAGGTTTTGGTATTTGGTTTTTCCCATTAATATAGAGCTTTCCTGCATCTCTTGAGCTTATTTTATTATCTCCAAAAGATCAGCCATATTGTGTGCCAGCACACATGCACAATGTTCTTTCTGTTAATCTCTTGGTTATTAGGCCATGCTCTAGCTATAAAGCTATGGTTCAGGATCCAAGCAGAGAAACACAAGGGCTGAACTTAACACAGACATAAAATACTTGTTTTCTTTTCTGACACACCACTGGCCAGCTGTTTCCAAATGTGATATTAATCAAGGAAGTGTAGAAAATACTGTGACTACACAATTAAAAAATGATAACCTCTTGCTCTACAAATGAATATATTAGCGTTGTTAATAAGCACTTGATATTAATGCAAAGCTGTGCTGTCATCTGCAACAGAACAATAGCTGATGGAGTTATACATGGCCATTACATTGCCAGGATGCCTGAAGCCGTATGCTGACAGTAGGTAAAGCAAGCAACTGGATTTAATGCATTTAACTGAGTTAAAAATATATATGTGTATATCATACCTTTAATTTAATATATGCATGTTCTTCACTGTGAACAGTGTGGGCTTCAGGGCACCAGACAGTTTATTCAGGATTATTCTTATGGATGATAGCACTTTATGGTCTCCAAAATGGGCTTATTCATTATATTGCTTTCTGCTAACAGGATTTCTGCAAGATGCCCATCAAGTGTTTTTCTGCAAGGGTGTCCCTGGACCATGAAAACTGCAAACTGATGTGAGAGTGATTTCAGAATCACAGAGCAAATATGAAAAGAATACACTTTGTTCTGATACAGTCCTCTGATCAAAGAAAACATTTTTTTAGGCATGAATGAATGACTGGGAGCTGAGGGAAAAAAAAAGACCCATTTAGAATTATTAACCTGATTTTCAGCTTGATTTCTAACACAAAGTGAAAATAAATAGTTATCGTCTCATAAATCCATGAACTCAGTTATCTAAGTAAGGCAACATACATTTATACTAGCTAAAAATTATGCCAGTTGTATTTATCTGAACCCATAGCCTACCAGAAATTTGTTCCACGTTACTGAACAAGAATGCCCTGATGTGCTAAGGGCATCCAAGCGTTTCAGTTAGCTCATTCCCAGCAATTAGCAAACAAGAGCCAGAACAGACCAAATACTAATTTAGAAACTTAAGATTCCAATGGCCTTCCCCCCTTCTCCTCCCCCATATGTATATATTTATATTTTTTTTGCTTCCCTTCTGTTTTAAGGCTCAAAATCTTAGCTGATAAGGACTGTGGCTTCTTACTCTGACTCCTTACACTGACTGTCACTTATGTTCCACATTTGTTCAGGTAGGCTGTCAAATAAGCTGCTTTCTGGGGCCATACCAGTTTATTGTGCAATATTTTGAGAAAATAAGGGAAGGGGCCACAAATGCATAGGAAACACTAAATTTATTAAACATATTTACCACCACAGTATTTTTGCCAGTGGCTTTTTCCTATGCAGAACTCAATTTTTTTCTTAAATATTGACTTATTTTATTTCTCTAGTTATTCTGTTGGCTGATTTTATTCTAAAATAATCAATAATATATTTTCCTGGCAATGCATTTCCCCAAACTTTTCCTAACTGACCAACAGAAGATCAATGTTGAAAAGTTTGCTTCCTCCAGTCCAGCTCTAAGTGATTATTTATTTATTCAGAAAAACAAACAAACAAACAAGCAAACAAAAACCCCACAACTACTACACAGCACTGTTTGGTCTCACTGGCATGTGAGTTTGTAAAATACTGGTCTTTTGAAATTGTTGCTGGAATTTGAAATGGCTCAGGAGTATTCCTCTGAAATTAATTTACACTGGAAAAAGATCCTTGCAGTCAAAGGTTTTGTTCTCTCTGAAACTGCTGGGTTCCGTTCAGGAAGTGAGCTTAAAAAATGCTGCCTCCTGTTAGGTGAATTGGTATTGCATCATTTGGCTTGAGTGACTAAACCAAAGCATTTACACCATTACTGCACCAACTGGTGAAACACTTCAGCCTGCACAGAGGAACTACATTTCATACAGGTCATTTCAAAAATTTAATGATGCACTGTCTCGGACAAATTAAACCACGATAAAATGTTTCAGAGTTCTTCTTCAAACAGAATTTGATTTTGATTTTTAAAGCACAGAATTACTTTGTTTCAGGTAAAGGTCCTGATGATTTTTTTTTTTTTAGTTTGTCAGGTTTTAGTGTGGATTTATTCTCAAACATAATTAACAAGTTTCAGATTGTTGCAGTTATTTACATTTCACGAAGGACGTGTGAGCAGAGGGGAAACCACTGTCCTTACTACGGCATCCATACTGCCATACTGCTGTGAGAGAGATTGTTCAGTCAGCACTTGGAGATGCCTAAACTGCTGATGAAATACCCTGCTTAAAAATATGATATACCCAAAGATATGGTTAATCCCCATGTTGAGGAAGTTCAGGAAGATTTTATGGAGCATCTCGGTACTGTAAACACACAGGGAAGGCAGAAGAGAGAGAACAGTGGTGATTGCTCTCAAATCACTCCAAATACTCTGTAAAAGAAGGTGCTGTTATATGGGATTTCTTAGTTATGTAGTACCAGAAAAGTCCACAGCATACCAAAATGCAGAATCTACTGCTTTAATGGGTCAAAGTGTAACCCAAATCGGTCAGCGAAGGCTCTGGAGAGGATGAGGTGACCTGAGGTGAGACAACGGCAGCCATTTCCTGCCAGGCTGGCAGCTCCTGTGGTGAGGCCTCCTCGCTCCTCCCAACATGGCGCCTCCCCTTCCCTCTCTCAGTGGTCCCAGCTCCAGCACCTGTCAGCTCCTTCCCCTCAGACAACAGGAGCAATCCACCCCAGGCAGCACAGGCACAGGTGATGGCCGCTGTGAGGGCCCTTCCCTGCACAGAGGGAGCTGGTGGCTCAGCGCTGGGCAGGCTGCAGCTCCAAAGCATCGCCCCCAGCCTTCATCCTAATCTCCTTTGAACCGCTCTTCATTGTTATCCCGGTCCTGAATCTGGGATTTGCAATGCTCGGCCACCAGAAGTGCCAAGTCCTAGGTTATTTTTATTTAAATACCGCCTCAACATTTCATTTCTATCCTTCCTGATGTGTTGGTGCCTATTACTCTTTTATTAGCTTTCCCACTCCGCTTTTAAGCCATCCCCAGCAGCGTGCTAAGCACTCCAAAATGAATTTACCTTCTCCCACTGTAGTATTGCTGTTACCGGCAACAGCCTCATCATTTACTCTGCACTAAAACACAGGAAAGGTTCAGCCCTTGGGTAAGCTTTCTGTTCTTCACTCTAATAACTAGTGCCACTAACACAATAAAATTTTATATCATTTTTATTGGATCCCTCCTAGAGACTTATTGGAGGAGCACTGCCTTGCAGAGCAGATGTGTGAAGCTGCAGACAGAATCGCATCTGTTGCCTTTTGCCACAAATTGTTCCGTGTTGTCCCCTGCTGACAACGAAATTTAACATACTGTCACTGCGCATCACATTTGTAATAAAATCATTGTTGAACATAAACACATTACATCCTTCTACCTTTTTTTTTTTTTTTAATAATAAACTGACTTCATTTCCTTTACAACTCCCTCCTTATCCTCCAAAATAGATTTTCCTTCTGGCCTTGTTATTCCCTGGAGCTGGGCCAGCTCCAAAACTTTGATACTGCCTTTCACAGCAGTCCTGAGATTGAAAAAAAGAGTACTTGTGAGGTGGGGAAATGTCAGTAAGAATCTGCCACTTCCTACTAAATCAAGAGATATTTGGCACTGTATTTCTTGATTGTTGTTTTTGTTTTTGTTTAAACCCAATAAGTGTTGCTTACAGGCAAAGAGAAATAAGTTGTAGTGCAGATCCAGATAAAGAATAAAAGAGAAAAGCTGTGTTTTCCAGTTACAGAAAGTCACCAGCAGCCTTTAATTTCCAAGCTGCGGCAATGCCCTGCTTTTGCTGCAGCCTTGTATGTTCTGCATGTGGCCTGGGTCACTTGCAGCCACTCTAGTCTTTGGGGTGCTGGATAAACCAGCTGCTACTTGCTGATTAACACAGAAAACAAAGGAGTCCAAGACCACACTGTCAGGCACAGACACACTTATTTTGCTCATTTTCCAAGCTGAGGGAACCTGAATGCCTGCAACACGTGGACACTAGGACTGGAGGATCACAGTGTCAGCAGGAGGTGTTTCAGTGCTGTGCTGGGAAAGGCATTTGGCTCCTTCCAACTGCATCCAGCTTCAGGATGGCTTGGGGCTGTGGCTGTACATGGCTCTAAACAAAACTGTCACCTTCTGCCATCCTCATGGTGAGGCACTGATGAACCACTGAAATATGTGGGTATGGTGCCAAGCTGGGAACGCAGCCGACACACACAGCAATGAGGGGAAGCCAATGGGATTATGAGTGAAAATCATATCCACAATAAAAGTGACAAGAGCGGTCACAAGCCTTTTAAGGGGCTCGATCTTATTTGCATTTTCTTATGCTGCTCAGAAAACTTAATGAAGTTTAGCTTTTGACATTAAGATAAACCAGCTCTGGGATGGTGCTGTCAGCTGTGCTAATTAAAAGTCAGCCTCTGAGTGCTTAAAGCCTGTCTACGCTTGAAAATACAGTTTGAGGTAGTGCATAAATTCAAAA